ATAGTAATACATCTTTTAACCATGGACTATGATTTTCTATTTCAACTTCAACATAAATGATAAACGATGTTTCTTTCGCGATATTTTACGTTGGGGCACATTTATTGCATATAAGCTGGCATCATCAGATGAAAGGTTGACACGTTTTTATCCCTCTATAATTTGCGCCGATGATTACTCCGCTAGAGAATATAATTAGTGTGCACATCACAAGGCTAAAAAACGATCGTACGACGTGGGCAACCAAAGCAATGTCTACAATAAAAATCCATGTCCATGTGAATTTTTATATTCACGACGGAAGAAAATTTCTATCGTTATGTAAATAATGCCGCGATTTTTTTTATAGTTCTAGGACATCTGACTTCACATCTTCTCTCTCGTCGTTATTATCAAGATAAATTATGTTATAATGATCTTTAAAATTATACAGTAAATTTTATCGATTTGTTTGCACGCTTTTCGCTTTCCATCTTCGAGAATCGGCATAGCTCTGCCTATTATCGCTTCCAGATTGCGTTGATGCGTCAAAAATTCGATCGCTATTCAAGAATCTGAAAGAAAAACATCTCATTACATAAACTCGTAAGATTTCGCACGATGTTGATTTGTTCAGCGTTTCGGCTAGACCCGCGTGCCGCTGATTACTGTACGGTAACGACATAATTGTCCGTTATGCGCGATTTCCTCGACTATTACTTTTCACCACGGCGATTTATCGGCGATGTACAACGAGCTGTGCACACCGTGCGAATACACGTGCCTCGACTCGCGGCTTACATGGCCAAGGAAATGCGCGGTCTTTCGGTTTTATGGTGGATTACATCACCATCATCACCGTCCTGTCGCTGATTACTTGTGACGCATGATCGCAACGTCATTACCGAACACGTACAGGATGTTACACTATCATTTCTATCTCTTCTTGATGATAAACCTTTCGAGGAATTTAGATGCAATTTATTTCTCGAAAGTTAATAATAATTTCCTGGAGCTCTTTCTAATTTCCGAATAAATGTTTTGTCAATTAATCATAAAATTAAATCAATCAAGCTCTAATTAGTTTCTCTGATTGCTGGTGTTATGCAATTTCATTAGAATGGCGCTGTAAAATTTATTTTGATGACAAAAGACTAATTCTGCACTAAGAGATAAGTATTTATGATTGCAGTAGTATAGTAAAATAATTATTAGTTTTGTTTTTATAGTTATTACTGCTATAATGTTATAGTAATAATTATTTATAGTTCCATATATTAAAAAATATATAATTTGCACCGAAAGTAATTTATAGTCATTTTAGATGTGAATTATATATTTTTTAAATATATAAAACTATAAATATATAATTACTATATTCAGCAATAATAATTATAAAAATGAAGCTTCTAATCATTATTATTTTATCATGCAATTAAATATTAAATACTTTTCTTTCAGTGTGATTTCTTTACAGTACAATACTTATCATATACACACACAGTATAACATTTATCGTTAATGAGAAAAGCGATACTTTTAACTTCTAATTTTGTCATCATAGTGTATACTGTATTTGTCGAACCGCTATTTTCATTTAGTTTGAATGTCAGGAATAGCGTGATTCGGATCAGTTTTGCTCTGCAATTCGTAATTGTGGGTTACAAGCTGGTTTATTTTTCGTAGACGAGGGGGGACACGACAGATGGAAAGTATCGACAGCGATTTCGAAGCCTTGATGATAGCCCGATATTATTTAGTTCGTTTTGCAACGGCGAGTCCCTTCGGCTATTTCTTGTTGCCTCGGCGTTAGATCTTAGATGTACCGTATCATTATGAAAGCGAATGGCCGATCATTGTCTTTCGGCGAGTCGCGCACTCCCAGTTATGGAGTCGGCACTGCTTCTCTTTGTTCATTTTCAGTTTTGCAATTCATGAAACGCGATTCGTGCAACTTGAGTAATACGGTCATTTATGTTCACGTGTGGGAAACGTATTGCATGTTTAGTAAATATTAGAAATACAATATAAAAAGGAAAATATTAGAAATGAAAGGGAATTCACTAAAAAAAACATCTAATTACATGTCTTCGGCGTTCACCATGGAAAGAACGATGTTGCTGAAATATTTAGAAAGTTATCCAGATATCGATTTGAAAATAATTTTGCTGAGGATCATCAAAATGATGTGGGAAACTCAGATATGATATGCAATGCTGCAAAAAATGTTGATATTTTAGCAATTAGCTTAAACGTTCTACATAATTATTTTGATAGTTCAATATAACTATTTTTATCTACATCTAGCTAAATTTTTAGATATTTTAGCGAAATTTAAATACTAAACGTTATTTCTGTACATATACTTCAAATTTTACATATATAACTAAAATTGTCATATCAGTTATATTGTTTAATAAATCGATGTCAAATTACGATCTCACACAATCTCGCGTTCCTTCTGAATTTAATAAGTAAACTTGCGGTTTCTTTTCCGCGATGTGTGTCGCATAAGTATATCTTCGATAGTTTTTTTTTTTTACACCTGTTTATTACCCGGCGTGTGTTTATTCATACATCACGTGCAGCTGATGGTGCATCGACGAATAAGAATCCTGGGAATGCATTCCACGGTCGTAATGCGTCGGCTCGGTCGGTGGCTCCGTTGCAGACATCTTTATTTGAACTCCGTGCGTACGAATGCAGTTCGTGCAGGGCCGCACTCGTGGGGAAACAACGGGTTCCACGAACTGTAGCGAATTTCACAAATCAGAGCCGTAACGTAAATTAAAAAACACTTTGTGATTAATGCAGATGTGTATGGACCAAAAATTTGCGATGCTATAGTACGACTTTAACTACCGTAGAAATCGGTATCTTCTTACATTCTATATTTTTGTTTAATTAAGAATTTAAAGATATAAAAATTAAACAAAAATAACTTCCAGAATTTTGTCGTGTGAATTGTATTTACCATTAAATATGCAGCATTACGAATATTATGACAATTCATTGTTAGATGTTTGAAGTCGCGATTGTGTCTTTCCTCACAAACAGTTATCTGCTCCATTTATTTGATAGTCTTTCGCTCTGTTAATTAAATGCTACCAAGTCGCTCATACATTACGTTCCCTCGTTTGTGGAATTAATTTGTGGAGCTCGTTTGCATCAACTGTTAGTCACAGACCGTTGAGCAGTTCATACTCTTATTTACAATTTTCCCTCGTCCAACAATGATATATAATGAATTCACAATCCAGTAAGATTCACGTGATTCATTTTTTTTAACTTCTTATATTTTAAACGATTCAAAGTATAGATTCAATTTATTTTAGGTATCTTTAATGTGGATGTACTGGTTTCCATATATGAAGAATATAATTAGTTAATACATTATTTACAAATTCCTTATTATTTCACTGATAAGTTAATCCTTTTTTATACATTTGACTTTTGAACAGATCGTAAATAAGAATTTCAACGTTGGTTGTAAAAATACAGGTTTTGCTTCAAAGTCAAGAAAAAGAACATTTTTTTAAAAAACGTAGGTTTGTAGGTAAAATTGTGTTTTTCTTTTGTAAAAGTATTAAATTTGATAAGAAAGTTTTTATTGCGCTACAAACTAATTTTAAGAAACATAACATGTTAAAAAGTCATTAGTACAAATTTCAAATTTTAAAATGGTTTCTTTATTTTTATATCTACGATAATTCTTCATTGAATTTCGGAAAAAAAATTGCTGAAAATTACAATTTGAGCATTTTGAAAGGCTTTCCTATTTTTTGTTGAGTAATATATTTGTATATAATAGGTATCTATATATGTAAGTTTTTTTTTATAAATACTAATATAATTTATTTTCACTTATTAGATAATACATTATATAACTATAATATCGCGTTTGCATTTTTATTTTATTTTCAAAAATTTTTAATTTTTAACCACAAATAATGTAATTGTGTGTTGTTTTTAAAAAAATTATTATGTTCCTATTTAAATATTTATATAAATTTTACATTTATGCATTTACCTATGTATTGTTGATATGGAAAAACAACATTAAAGTATTATTACATCTATCGTTAGAATTAGATTTGTATCTATGAAATAAAATGATAAAAATTAAAAATATATATTTGTAATTTAAGAGCAAAGTGAGTTAAAAAGTACTTACGTGTATTGCTGGGACTGAATAAATTTACCGAATGACGAAATATTGAACGAAATGTCGCGTCATGCAGAATATTGGCGGTTTGACGGAAATGTAATGGCTGCATGCAGAAAATAAATGTCAACGAATGTTATATGGGTGCTTAGCCAAGCATAGACTTAGCGAGATATTTTCGTCTGTATACTCAATGTATGTAACCCGTAACTCCATTGAATTAACATTTCCTGGACGCTTTCTAGGTCCGACCGAATATCTCGTCTGGCGCGACGAAAATTGTGCAATCGTGATCTCCTAGCGAGAGAAATTGCACGGTACTATTGTCAGGTGCCGTAATTTATCGTATAGTGATTATGTAAGGAAATTCTGTTTTGCTACCGTTAAACCCGATCTCATCATTTCGTCGTTGAAACGTAGGCTATAAAGATTTCAATCAGCATCGTACTTATAGATTAGAACCTCTTCATGAAACGCAAGTACAGTTAAACATGGCATAAAATGAGCATAAAAGAAGATTCATTTTACACTTTGAGACGATATTTCCTATCGATTATAAAGAAATATAAAGGAATATAAAGAAAATAATATAATATAATAAGCTAAAAGATATAAAGAAACTAATACAAATAGTTATATAAAGCTGCATATTAAAATATTATAAAACAGCAGTATACATTTTATATTCTCAAAAAGTTTATCTGAATGTCGTCAGTTTACATTGGAAATTTTTCATTAAAAGTTTATATAAATATAAGCTGTGTTTTATTTCTGTCATAAGAGATGCGACAGTATCCAATTGTAAGATGATTATCAGCCCGGCCTTAAAGGAGAATGTTTTCACTATCGGTTACAGATTCGTCACGACTTGAGGATGCAAGATTGCGCGAAGGACAGAGGGGCGCGGACTGCTGGTGCTGCGAAGACACTGAGGTCTGCGACCATCGCGGGAAATGACCATGACGAGCGTGGCTGTCGCCCCGGGTAGCCTTGGCGCACCTCCAGCTATGCTCACCCCTAAGATGTATCATCTGCAACAGGGTCTGAGCCCGTCCGGCTCGCCCACCTCCAGCAAGGTAAATCCCGAAATCTATCCACTTGAGAATCCGAGATCGCTCGATGTCTGATTCACGGAGTCGCTCGATGCGCGAGAGAGCGTGTCTGATGCGAGACGCTCTTACACGGCAGCGTTTTACGTAACGGGACACAACCGAGGTTGGAATCGTGGAACCTCATCCGCGGTTGGTCATTAGATACAGCCATTGTGGTAAGTTGTGGCGGATTGTTAAGGAGAGCTTTCTTCTCTGGCATCGCATTTCTCCATGTAGTCTAATTATTACTTGCGGTGAGTCTGACTGACTCTCTTCTTACGTCCTCGGACGAAGGAAAGGCCATCGATAGCCTCATTTTTTTTTCAAAACGTTTTGCGTAGGGCAAAAACGCTTTTACATAACGAGAGTAAGGTATATAATTTGTTAGATCCAGAACACTTGTATTTGGAGGGAAAGTCAATATCATGGCGTGTTAGAGTTTTTGTTTACAAAAAATAAATTGACCATCTTACAGATGTTTACAACAAGAGAAAGAGCGACGCATGAACCGTACTGGCGTGTCAAAATAGGGAAAGTGCACGAGGATAGGTTAATTACTGGATATAAGCCGCTTGCATAACGCGAGGATGAATGAACGTGACGTGGTTGCCTATCTCTTGGATCGCGAATTTGTTTTGGTATCTTAGCTCTCCTTTTGCCTTTATCCTTTCCATTTCGTTCCGCATACCGCGTTACTCTTGAGCAACATTAACGTTGATAGACGTCAGCGTAGATAATAATTCAATCCGACACATGTCATCTCCATTGTTTTCTTTTCATTATGTTGTAAAGTGAGGAAAATTTCATTAAATATAAAGTGAAAATTGCATTGCTTATATTGGATGATTGTTCTATTCATAATTCACATCGAAAGATGCAAGTAATATTGATTTTTATAAAGCTTATAAAAACATAGGAAGATTGTAAAGGAAAAGATCTTTTCTTCCGTTGTACATTTTCTTTTACTTACGTAATTGTGGTGGTAGCTATCACAAATTTCTCCGTCACATGCACGTACATACAATTGTGTTGATGTTTTATTCAACGTGTTTGTAAAGCTTGTCAGTGAAGTGGAACTTAAAGGCAGAAATAAACATATCTTAGAGCAGTCCGGATCTGTTGCAATAAGCAATATTATGATGTACGTTACGCTCGCTGATCGTAAGTACCCTTCATAACGATGTGACACTTTATTGGATGCTTAATTGCTATCATCGTACATCGATAAACAATTTAATGCTTCGATTGCCACGCTACGATTTTTACTATCAATCGAAAATTGAATCGCTTGAAAAGCATGAATTGACGTTCGCATTTTACGACACTCGGGAATTGCACGCGAAGTGCCGCTTAACACTTGCCTCGATAGACAGTCCTCTGGACCATTACTGACGGTTGAAAAACTTACAGCTTGGGTTTGCGGTTTGAATTTCTCTCTATATTCCTGCTTACGTTGTAGATTGTAGAAGATATACTCGAATAAAATTTACGGTAGAATTTGTTTCATTGTGTCGTTTATTTTATTTTCAGTAAAAAAAAGTATTAAATCTTTCTTTGAATCTCGAATGTTTAATAACAAAATTATAATCAAATATCAGGTTTATCAAAAAAGTATTAATTATTTGCAATCACATATTAAAATATCAGATTATTTTCTAATTACATGTGTGTGTCCGCTTGCCTTCCTCTTCACTTTAATATAAAAAAGTATAAACAATTGTTATAAAATACATCGAACAGTTTCTGTAATTATGTTTTTACTTTTACTTCTTATCTTTATTATGGAGGATATATATTTTCCATTTTATAATGCTTGTCGCTGATTTTAAAACGATGCACAATTTCAACTACATATATGTATATACATATATAAAATTGAAATTGATATAGTATATATGTATATATATATATATACAAATATACCTATATCTCGTGAAATTTATATCACGAAAGAGGAAAGTTAGCGAACCCAAAAAGGGAAACTTGGCGCGGTATAAAACCAGAAATCCTGAAACAGAAAACGTTCCACGAAGGACAACTATCACAGTGACATAAGGGCTCATAAAGCTGTGGTTACGTGCTTCAGTTCTGTCGCTTGAACAATGGCTCGACTGGTTTTATCTTAAAACCAGTCGTCGCCGATTATGATATCGAATACTTTGTATTCACATCGTCTTGGCGATATGTTATCTTTCCCGGATCTGCTTTTCTTAGTTCGAATCGAGTGTCAGTCGATATAGTCGCGATAAAGTGTTGAGTTGATACTAATCGCGAATTGCATTCTCCGCAAATTACATAATTATAGTCTACATATATTATACTTTTTAATAAACAATTTAATGTACGATTCCTTTTTTACCGAGCGTATTATTACGTAATCATATTGCAATTGCAACAATAAAAGTATACCTCTTCAAATAAAATATTTTTAATAATGTGACTGTGATATTGATTAACAAATTGATGATTTATGCTTGGAATCACAGAAATTATTATAAATTCAAGTTCTTTAAGTATACATTGTACTATATAAATGTATCCAATAATTACGAAATATTGTGTGTTAAACAGTTTATAACAAAAAATATGTAGTTTTCAAGTAATTCTCCACGATCTCGAAGTAAACGAAAAATTACATAGACTATTATATTTATTCGCATTGATTTATAGCGGCGCGTTTGTAAGTAATGCAAGAGGATTTATAAGTATCATTACTTGGCACTTGTAAGTATCATTACCTTCTACCGCATCGACAAGTGTTACGAATGGGGATAAATTTGCGCAATTCCGCTAGTAATCCCGCACGCTTATGTGGCAAAAGGCCGGCCGTTCGCCGCGGAGAGTGATATCTCTCGCGAATTGAACATATGCGAAGGCAAGAGGAACAAACTTTACGATCGTTTGCGTATAAATCACTGCTTTCATTACACATACGTGCGCTATAATTATGTACCGCACGCATCATCTAAACGCCTCGTTTACAACGAGAGATTGCCTAAAAATAAATTTCCGGACTTTAAATAAATAGCTACGAAAACATGTAGCTGACGACATTGCGCTGATGTAATTTATGTTCAATTTAGATTGCTACCATAATAAAAATTTTCTTAATATATTACACGAAGGTTCACACCGAATAACGTGAGATCTAATTGGATAATCGAGATCGTAGAGAATGACTTGAAAATTGTGTACGAGGCGATAATAAGATATATTAATGCATACGGATAGAATGTTATTTTTTTATAAAACAGCTATATAATATTTCTTCTCTTCTTCGTTAAAGAACTAACGAGAAGTATCATCGTCGTAAATTTAACGTTAAGTGGGACGAGCCTCATTTCGTCTTTACATCACGCGCGGACTTTGTATTGGAAAAATAATGAGCATACTATTGAAAATAGACAGCAATGATTACCTCAATTTGATAGTCATATTTTATGTAAATGTGAAAATACGGAACCGATGACAACAGAATGCGTTTTAAGAGCGTCGATTCATTAAATTATATATACGTTTCTTTTTTCACTCGGTAACCACTTGCTTGTTAGCCATTAATTCTGTAATTCAGGATTTGGCGATTCTGTTATGCTGCGTGACCGGTAATAGTTTATATAACTATTCGAGCATAGAGAGAGAGAGAGAGAGAGAGAGAGAGAGAGAGAGAGAGAGAGAGAGAGAGAGAGAGAACATGGATTTCTCACAGGCGCGTGACTTTCCATGCTCCTTCGACCGTTCTTGCGTGCTAGAGTAACTAGTTAGTATTTGGCCCACATCGAGAAACTTTCAAGACTTTATTCCCCCGTAATTTCTTGCCTTCGATCGTGACTTTATTTGTCTCAGGCCGTAGAACAATATACATTTTCTTGATATTTAAAAGACGATAAAAATTACAAGAGACTTGTCTCCGTTTGAACATGGCCGGAGACGCTACCGCGTCTCCTGATATATATAGATATATATTTCATATGTTCTTTTCTTTATATATATTTTTAGCGAAATTCTAATCTTCCATATTTTATGTACATTTTTATACACATTAATTAATTTTAATTTAATTTAAAATTGATAATTTTTTTTATTTTTGATATTTATTTTAGACATTTCGTACGAAAAAATAGTAACAAGTATTTATTGATATCATATGAGACTCAAACATCTGCTGTACTTTTCAATAGTATTAAAAATGTGTAATTTTTAAAAAATGAATTGCATTTTACCTTGTATTTCTATGCTGATGGTAGTTCAAAGCGGAGTTGAAACGTTCGTTATGCGAACGTTTGATTTAAGGATCTAACATCGTTATACTGCGTTTGACTCTTACAGTTTGAATATTTAATAAAATTATTACATTTTTTAATAATTTACAATGAAAAGAAGCACGAAACATAGCAAAAAAAGAAACCACAGATTCTTGTATTTATAAAAGATATTGTAAATTTTTATAATCTGCAATTCATATCATTAAGTATATTTTTACATAAAAGATAAAATTCTTGACGTAAAACTAAGCTAAGAATTTCTAACATTCTATATAATATAAAAAAATGCAGTAAATAAATTATTTTAATTTCTATAAATTCCTTAATTAAAATATCAACTATAGTTTAATCAATTTCCTTCATTTTTTCAACAATGGGGAAAGCGATGAAAGATTAATATTATTTAATTAACGTTTATGGGAACAGTAATAAAGCTAATCACTCGTTGATTTATGTATTCGCTTGACTAAACAAGCATACTTGAATTCAGAGTTTTCACGTACAACCCGATTTCCCCGACGTTCCCTTATCTTTCCACTGGGATCACATTTTACGGGTGTCAGATCGTCATCACATTCGCAAGCGTATCATCTTCAATCTTTAACATCGTCCGCCGTCATCGCGACGTCGCCGTGACAGGTTCTTTGCGAGGTGAAAATTTTGCCGCCGCAGGCCGCCGAGCGTGTCACTTTCCTTTTCTTGACGTAATTTTCGCGCAAGAAA